CAGGGGCGCTATGAGTCGGACCCAATTGACGGTACTTAATGACAACAACAAAAGTCCTTGTTGGAATCCCTGGATAGTGCAAACTGTTAACATGCTAGACCTGGCAACTTGCTTCCAAAAACCCTTTAGAGAGCAATTTGATTCTGTATCATATGGAGTAACCACAAGTTGGAATTGGCTCAAGGGCAACTGGCTTTTGTTGTTGTTTTTTAATATCGTTGTTGAGAATCTTCCTTCTTCTTTCTTTCCTTCCTTCCTTCTTTCTTTCCAAGTTCCCTACCCACCAAAAAATTCCCATGGAAACAGGCTTTTGTGAGGTCCATTTCCTTTGGGCATGGAAGACCATGGACAAGTCTTCTCTGACATTTTCTCCTTTGGCTGACTAGAATCAACCCATTAAATAGTTGGGAGAGAGAGGACTAAGTAAATAAATTCTGATCAAGTCATTTAAATAGCTTTTCCTAAATTATCTCCAGTGCTACCATCTTCTCCTTATCACCTCTTAACATTTCTGCACAAAGGATTGTCAGTCATTTCTGCTGTCTCTGACTCACTTTCTGGCTGACCCTATGATAGTGCATAATTCAATCATGTAATTCCCCCCAAAAGCAATGATGAGAAGACATAGGCAGTAGACAATAGTCCCCTTATCCTGGATTAATGAACAAAGTCTCTTATCACCAACTGTTGTATCTCTTAGGAGTAAAATATGCCTTGAACTGGACCTGAAGCAAAACATTTTAGATCAGATTTTAATTATGTATTAATTTCCTTCCAATATGTTTTCTCTGCAGCAAACAGAGACTCCAAAACAATTTTATTGCCCTAGAAATGCATTTTCTATTTGGCATGTTCTTTTTAAATATAGTTATTTTAATGCCTAAATTGTTGAGTGTCTCACTAGTGACTTTATTTTTAGGAGTTTAATGAACAGAAGTCTTTGGAATCTGGCTTTTTTTTTTTTTCCTTTTTTTCTCCCTTACTCCAAATAGAGTAAAATTGTAACTATGAAGATGAAGCTCAAGGGAATAGAGGGGGAAAAAGTAGAAAGTAATCATCTGCCTTCTACTAATTCACTGTATGGGGGCAGATGTGGGGCAGGTGAGGAAGAGGCAGAATGACAGCCGTTAGAAGTGACTGAATATACATTAGCCTCAAGTCTTTTTCAATACTATTTGGACAATTAAATGAGTCTTCTTCTCTTTCTTCCTTCTTGAATAAGTGCCTAGTGCCTTTATTTGAACAACTTTTCATAGGAATGAATAAATGAAACTAGAAGTAATGCAGAGGTGGTGATCTGGTAGCATTATATGAAATATAAATCTATAGGGCAAGAAATTGCTGATAAACTAAAGTATTAACTAAGTTGACTAAGTTGGGAATTTTCACTGGAGAAAATCAACTGTCTCTATGATGTAAAGAGTAAATACATGTGGTATTGTATGCTTTTGGCAATAGATTTTCCCATATTCAAGCTATGCTTTCTTGAGCAAGTTCTCATAAAAGTAGGGGATGCTATAAGCTACACAGACCAATTCTTAGGATTATATGAAATATTGAGTGCATTATTGCAGAGTTCTCAGTGCAATACATACTCATTAAATGGAAACTATAGTAACTCATTTAAAATACTTGTTGACCATGCATTGAATTAGGCTTGGCTGGGGGCTAGTCTTCTTGAACTTGCATTCTAGTGGAGAATGGGAGGAAAGCAACTTAATAGAAAATTATACAAATTATTTCCAATAACAAATTGTTTGAAGGAAAATGTAGGGTGCAATGAAAGGCTATAGACTCCTGGTGTGCAGTTGTAGGATAGGCACCAGCTACTCTTCGGAAACTCTATACTGGATCGCTCACTTATCAGCAACAGCAATGAAAGGCTATAGAGTCCTGGTGTGGCACTGTAGGACAAGTGCTGGACTGCTAACCCAAAGGTTGACAGTTCAAACCCAACAGCCACTCTTTGGAAACCTGATACAGCATAGCTACGAGTTGGAACTGACTCAACAGCACTTACAACAAGAACATAAGAGGTTATGGTGAGGAACACAATTTCTGCTGGGATTCATGGAAATTCTCATAAATAAATGACTTTTAGACTGAGACCTAGAGGACGAGAAACTGTTAGTTAACTGCTCTATTTGTGTGTACAGCAGCACTGAGATAAGAAAAATGTATGACATATAAAAGGATATGAAAGATGGCCTGTTTGCCCAAGGCTCCATCAGTATATTGCTTCCCACGCATACTGAGAAGGGGAAGGGTACTGAACTTGGTTTGCTGTGGGAAGTGAAAAATCTGAGAAGCCCCCACAGCAAACATTTACTTCTCTTTCCTTTGATGATTCAATTTCAGTTTCAAGCTACTGCTAAAAGAAAACCAGATTTTACCTCTGTGAGATTTGTTGAGAAGCCACAGATCTATCATTAATGTGATCTATCATTAATGGCATTTCCAATTCCTCCAACAGCAAGACAGAAACAAGAGATATAGCCTATCATTACATAAACCAAAGTGATGTGGTAAGCATAAAGGAGTGTTTCAAGCAAGCAGAAGGAACCTGTTTATATCTTTTATGTCTCTCTTCTGTTACAATAACTCAGGAAAGAGGGAAATTAAAGGACTTCAAAGGGAGCTGGACCAGTAGATCTGCTCTACACCACAGCTTCATGTATGCATGGAGTATACATAGACCAAGAGGCAATTGTTCAAACAGAATAAGGGAACACCAAATGGTTTAAAATTAGGAAAGGTATGTGTCAGGGTTGTATTCTTTCATCATGCTTATTCATCCTGAATGCTGAGCAAATAATCCAAGAAGCTGGATTATATGAAGAAAAATGTGGCATCAGGATTGGAGGAAGACTCATTAACAACGTGAAATATACAGATGATACACCTTGCTTGCTTAAAATGAAGAGGACTTAAAATATTTACTGATGAAGATCAAAGACCACAGCCTTCTGTATGGGTTGCATCTCAATGTAAAGAAAACAAAAATCCTCACCACTGGGTGAATAAATAACATCCATATAAATGGAGAAAACACTGAAGTTATCAAAGACTTCATTTTGCTTGAATTAACCATCAACATACATGGAAGCAGCAGTCAAAAAAGTAAATGGCATAGTGCACTAGGCAAATCTGCTGCACAAGACCTCTTTAAAGTGTTTAAGATAACAGTTTGAGGACTAAGGTGGGCCTGACCTAAACCATGGTATTTTCAATTGCCTCATATTCATGTGAGAGTTGAACAATGAATAAGGAAAATATATAGAATTGATATATTTGAATTATGGTGTTGGAGAAGAACAGTAAAAGTACCATGGACTGCCAGAAAACAAATTTGTCTTGGAAGAAATATGCTCCTTAGAACTTAAGGATGATAAAACTTTGTATCTCATACTTTGGACGTGTTGTCAGTAGAGACAAGTTCCTGGAGAAGGATACCATGCTTTGTGGAGCATGAGTGAAAAAGAAGAAGACCCCAATGAAATATATTGACAGAGTGGCAAAAAACAATAGGCTCAAAGGTAACAATTGTGAGGAAGACCTAGGAATGGGCAGTGTCTCATTCTGTTTTCTATAGAGTCATTATGAGTCAAAACTGAATCAAAGGCACATAATAAAAACAATGACACATCCCATAACTTCCATATGGATGAATAAATTAAATAAGAAATATAGAATTGCTGTTGTTTGTTGTTAGCCTCCATCGAGTTGACACCTGCCAAATGGCAGTGCCATGTACACAACAGAATAAACTACTGTCTAGACCGGCAGCATCTCCATGATTGGTTTTTAGATTGAACTGCTGTGATCCATAGATTTCCACTGGCTGATTTTTGAAAATCAATCCCTAGGCTTTTCTTCCTACTCTTAGTCTGGAAGCTCTGCTGAAACCTACACAACATCATAGCAATATGGTGGCCACCACTGATAAATAGGTGGTAGCTATGCAAATAGGTGGTATCAAATCCACGTCTCCTACATAGAAGGCAACAATAATGAAATACAAATCCTTAATGTCAAAAATTGCACTGATAAACTGGATAAAAAACTCAAAGTCATGTATAAACCTAAGTTGATAACATTAAAAATTGAGCATCCTGAGGGTTCTGGCAGATAACTGCTAAGACAAAGTCTCCTTGTTGTTTTACTAGTGGGATTTTTATTTTCCTGAGAGAATTCTTGTATGGATTGCTAATATATAAACCAGAAACTAAAACAAAACAAATCAGAACTAACAAACAAACAAAAAAATCCAGAACTACTATGTTGTTGTTGTTGTTATGTGCCGTGGAGTCAGTTCCGACTCATAGCGACCCTGTACAGGGTTTTCGAGGCTGTAAATGTTTATGGGAGCAGAGCGCCTCATCTTTCTCCCACAGAGCAGCTGGTAGTGTCAAACTGCTGACCTTGCGGTTCGCAGCCCGATTCGTAACCGTTACGCTACCAGAACTACTATAGTTACAGTGATATCCTGATGTAAGACAAACTACTTAACCTTTGAGGATTTATCTTTGAGGATAAAATACAGTAAAATTTATAAATTGTAAAGTTAAGTATATTTTCATTTTAAAGAAGGAGTCTTAAATTTAAAATCTTCAAGAATTAAAAAACAGTCTCCTAATACAGCCTCCCAGCATCATAATCAATAAAGATTCTTTAAGTCAGAAGAGCTTTTTCAATGTCCCTTAAATCATGTTTGAAGTTTCCAGACTTATTAACTTGAAAGGCTTGCTTTGGTATTTAGATTTCTCAAAGCATGCCTTCAGTTTTTTTTTTTCTTTTGAAGTAATAAAATAGGATAGATCTCTTCCCTCCCTTCTGCTGAATTACTGGAGAAATCAAGGTCTTTTCTGCAAAGATGGGTAGATTTGGGGGACAACACTGACGGTAGTGATTTCTGAGCATATATTAAGGAATTATCATTGTGTTTCACTTTTCAGGACATCATTCCTGTTGTGGCAGGCCCTGAAGTCTGAACCAGGGCCATGGAAGGCTCTGTGTTGAGCCCCACATCCTGGGAGAAAAGGCGGGCCTGGCTCCGTCAGAGTCGTCACTGGCAGACCCAGGTCCTGGAAGAGGAGGCTGCAGCTGCCCTGCAGGATGTCCCAGAAACAGAACCATCCAGCCTGGATGATGTTTTCCAAGAAGGTAGGACAATATTAAATATCAGCTGGTCTGCCATGTTGTCTTGTCATGGAGTAAATATGACAGTGGGCACAGGTCTGTAGAGATAGTCAATGGGTCCTTCTTTGAGGGCATACCCATAATCCAGGCTAGGAGGAGGTGTACAGGAAAGCAGAAAGAGAGGAAATGTGTACTATTTTTATATATAGGTATAGTACTTTCAGACTTTAAAGAAAACTTTGTAGTAAATAGAAAGATTCATGCTGTGGATCGTGTAATAATAAAGTAGGCGTGGGAAAGAAGTGTAGAATGGGGTTAGTTGGAGGGAAGGAGGTCTGACTTTCTTAAACTGTCATAGTGAACTGGTTTCTAACTTTCCTAGGGAATCCAATCAATAAAATAGAAGACTGGCTGCAGGATTGTGGGTAAGTACTGGAGGGAGAAGGGGATTAGATGCGGTTGATGGTTTATTTGTTAATAGGCACAGACTCTTAGGAACTCAAGGAAAGGGGAAAAGTTTGAACTGGGCTTGAAATTTAGAACTTATATTGAGACTGGAGCATTCCAAGAAATTTGGAAAACAGCTACATGGCCAACCAATTGGAAGACATTAATATTTGTACTCATTCCAAAGAAAGGTGACCCAACAGAATGAGAAAACCATTGAAAAATGTAATTAATAAGATTAAAATATGCTCATTGATTTTAAATACATTACATTCTAGTTAGAAAGAATGTTGTTGTTGTTGTTGTTGTTGTTGTTGTTGTTGTTGTTAAGTGCCATCGAGTCAGTTCCCACCCATAGCGGCCCTGTATAGGGTTTCCAAGGAGCAGCGGGTGAGCTTGAACTGCTGACCTTGCAGTTCAAACGGCTTAGTAGTCTGGCACATTAACCCACAGCACCACACCACATAAAGAATACACTCACAGATATAGAAGATTGTAAGCTCCAAATATCCCCTTTACTCTCCATGCTCTACAAAGATAAACCCTGAACTTTATCTTATGCTGAAAAGGCAGTCTGGTAATTGAACAGGCTCTAGGATTTGACCTACTTCTTGTGTTCAATTTAAGCAATAACTGAAATTCTTTCTTCCTCAGATTCCTTATTCTAAAATTGGAGGCTAGAATAACAAAATTTCAAAAGTCTTGTGAGGTTTAAATGAAGCAATATATGTACAAGTGTTTTATGCTCTGTAACAGTGTATGCATGATAAGTTTACAAAGTAAGTTCTTTATGCATTCTTTTAAAACCACAAATGATTTTATCTGCACATCCATCCATCTATCCATCTGTCCATCCATCCATCCATCAATCCATGCTATCATCTATTCATCTACCCATCTGCTCACCTATGCATCTGTCCATTTATCTGCCTATCTATCTGTCTGTCTCTCTATTTGTCTATCTATCTGGGAAGGTATGCCCAGAGTGGCATATATCATCTTTAGAAAGAAATGGGAGTAAAATGGGACTTCCATTGTTTCTTTAATATTTTTATTTCTTTTTTATCAGCAGAGATATGAAGTAAATATAGCAAAATGCTTATATGTCTGAAAATAGGTGGCTAGTGCATGTGTGTTTGTCATCGTTTCTATACTTTTCTCTGTGTCAATCTTTTTTCAATATTTAAGCTTCTTAAAGGTTTCAAGGAAGCCTATCAATGTCTTGTAGGTTCAGAAATTATTTACAAATTTCTCTAATAAGTACATGATACTTTTCTATTGTGTGAGAAAAGAAGAAAATTAGAGGGTAAAGATGATGACTGACAATAATGAAAGAACACTTGACTTTTGATAATAGAGAATATAGAAGATAAGAGGAAAAGCATTCTGAGTATAATGGAGTTCCTGATTTAACACAACCTTTGATTCTCAGTCTGCTAAGACTGCATAGGGGGGAACTGGACAAGGAATCCACGTTCACTGGTTATCTGTTCAAGTTCCTGTCAGGTGTCCCAGGAGGCACTTCATAAATTTTATTTCAAGAATGTATCGCTTCCATTTTCTTTCCAAGGCCAAACATCCTCCAGTAGCAAGAGTGTTTTATTTTCTGACAAGTTCTACAGAAACAAGGTTCACCAATGTTAGTGTGAATGCCTGTCAGTGCAATAAGATCTAGTCACAGACCATTCTGCTACTACTTTAGATTGTGTACTTCTTTTTAAAATGTGTCGCTCCTTTTTCTTTCTTCTCTTAAATTCTCAGGGGACTTTCTAGAGTCTCAGTGTGTTGCTTGTGAATCATTAGATGCAGGGTCCAGAGCCAAAAGTTCATCCCTGTAGGGTTTTGTTTACATCTATGCAAAGAAAATTCTATGGAAATTGTGTGAGGAAGTTAAAACAGCCACATGCTTCTTCTCACAATGAATTTATTCTTCCAATAAATTATGAATTGGATGTACAGAAGGAGCAGTGCTTTGGCTGTTCAAAATGTTATCAAGACAACTTCTAACAGAAAGGTGGAGAAACAGAAGCAACTATGGATCTAGTCGCTAGTCATTGATCATATGGTGTAGGCCAGAGTTGGGGAACATCTGACCCACAAAATAATTTGGTCTTACCCTGCCAAGGTAACCGCAGTTCCACCCATCACATTGTTGCTGTTGTTGTTAAGTGATGTCCCATTTCCAACTCATAGCAACCCTGTATAGGGTTTCTGAGGAGCAGCTGGTAAGCAGCAGTTCTTTTGTTCTTTTTAAGATGAAATGCAATAAAACATGATAAATCCACTGCCATCAAGTTGATTCCAACTCATAATGACCCTATATATATTTACTGAAAATTGGACAAGTATTAAATAATTAAATAGTTTGACGAAGTTTCAGAGACAAAATAACCCATGAGACAAAAGCATGATATTATCAGAACTTTAGAAATCTTTTTGCAATCCTTTCCACTCATGACCCTGCCTCCAAGCATGGTGAACCAATGTCCTGACTTCTAACATCATGCATAAAGTTTGGAATCTTTGATTGTGTTATAAATGGAGTCATATAATGGATAGTCTTTTTTTTTTTTAATGTTTTATTGTGAATTATGTGATAGTTTACTTGGAAGAACATTAACTTAGGATATCGTATATCATTTCATTGCCATGGTTACAATCCTCTGCATGCATCATCAACCAACCAAAGAATATACACTACAAGCCTGTCCACCAGTCATCAGCACACAGCCCCTCTCCCTCTCTGGGTCTAAAGTCCTGACCACTCCATCTTTCCATGTCATCGTCTCTGCCTCCATCTCTGGTGTCACTGCTTCTCTGGGTAGGGTCCAGCTCTCCGCTCTTCTCCCTTGCTAGTCCCAGGGACCTCCGCTCCTAGACTGCAAAGTCAGTAACTCCTCTCCTTTTGCTACAAAATGTCTACCTTTACATTTCCAGCCATCACAGTCGGTCCTTATAACAATCATTCACTATTGTATCACAAGAGACCTATCCCCATCTCCTTTCATCAGCCTGACCCAAACAGATTGGTTTACTACTCAGTGGAGATTCTACCTTCC